ACCTTCTGTCGTGGGAAAATTAGGTGTTGGCTGACACGGGAGTATGCACAGCACTCCATGGTACATTGCTGCTTCACCCTGAATTAAATTAGACATCACAAGTGAAGAGAGTGTGGAAATCCTTCATAGTTTTCTCATTGTAGAGGTGAATTCAAGAAGTGGAATTTGTCAGCCTTTTAAATATTCTTTGTGTGATTCACTCTTTGAATAAAAAAGTACTGGAGGCTAATTTATTTACTTTTATAAAAGAAGGTTATTCTTAAATACTCTTTTTTCAACCTGTGTAAACTGAGCTAATATTTGGGGATATTTAAGACAATTCCGTCTGAAACTAATGTTACAGCCCAGCAGTCAACGTGAGCAGCACCCTCAAACAAAGTATAAGAGACTATAGGCTTACTATATTAACGTGGCCTATTCCCTCGTCTTGGTCCTTAGAGAACACAATGAGCCCCACTGAGAACTCCATACTAGAGAGAGACTCTCCATTGATGTCTCCTCGGCTCCCCTCCCCCTCTCTCTATGAGACATCTGTAGCAGCTGCCCCCTTGTGCTCCTGTCAGCAGGGCAGAGTGTGTGTTTGCGTGTGTGTATGCACTCGTTGAGGTGGGGTTGGCTGGGGAGGTTAGTGTGGGGCGTGTTATGACACCTCCCCCTTTGGAGGGGTCCAGCCCGCACACTTGTGGGACATCACATTTATCAATGGCTAATAGTCACTAGCAGGTCACCCTGAAAACACAACAGAGACCTTTCACCTCTTTTTAGCACAAAGGCTGCGAGGTGCCGAGGTGTCACGATAGCCCCTGGGCGCTTTAAAAAGAGCACAACAACTTTTTACATGTACATTTACCATCATAAATCATGATAACATATTATTTTTTACTTTGCTTTTTGACAAACTTTGCCTTAACTTAATGAAGTGACGAATACATTTCTCTGAAAAAAAGGGCACAAACTACTTTTAACATGAATATTTGCCATCAGAAATCTTGATATAATAATAATTCTTACTTTGCTTTTCAACAGCCCTCACCTTTATCTAATTTAATGACATATAAATAGCTTTGCTTAGAGCAGAACACTACAATACAGGGCCTTGCTAAACGCTATCACTGACAGCAAGTTCAGATATTACAGAACAAGAAGCCCTTTTCATTTAGTCTCAGTATATTCTTACAGACTTTCTCACACCAATCAAATTATGTGACTATAATTCATAGAGTAAAATTACATTACAAGCATAAGGGGAATAACTCGTCTAGCTGCAATGTTAACAAGGGAGGAGGAGGGGTGGGACAAGCGGAGGAGAGACAAGCGGAGGAGAGTAAAGCGATGCGCCACTTAGACTTCCTATGACATTTTTATGTCAAATAACAAAATAATCAGCAAAATCTTTCCTATAGTCTGAAAAGGTTATTCTGCCAACACAGGACTTTCTTAAGAATCTCAAAAGCAGCTCCACAAATTGCGTTCTCTAACTTTGTTACATAGTAAACAACATCTATGAGGCTTTCTTTTTCTCTTTGCTACATTTTGCAGACTAAATATAAGGTCATGTGCCAAAAAAAAACCGGATCTTGTGCTCGGGTCAATAAAATCTGACCAATAACCTCAGAGACATGTATCCCTGCATCGGAGAGTCAAACCTCTAGTGTCATGGTTGGGATGCTTTATGATTTAGCACCCAAACTTTACTTTTTAGTCAAAAGAAGTGTTAAAGTTACCCAACAAAACCCTTTATATGTAGCTTCCTGGTCTAGTAGTAATATATTTTGATTATCTGACAATTGTCCACACCCTTCAGTATTTTTTTCTGTCTTTATTGAGGCAGAGAGCTGAGAGGGATTAAAGAGAAGGCTCAACACAAGCGAGACCTAATCCTGGGAATTCAGGGTTACAGAAAGGCCTTAAAGAATATGTTTTGCTTAAAGTTAACTGCTATCTTTTTCTGCAAGAAGCTGGTGATTTAATATATTTTGTACTTTCAGTTTTTGTCTCTAAATTTGATAATAATTGTGCACAAAAGTAAAGTACGGCATGAGCAGCTTCAACCGAGGATACAGACAATCCACCGAGACTTGCATGGAAAAGATATAAATAAATTAGCACAGTGTAATTTTATTAAAACACTAAGTTTAAAAATCAGGTGAGAGTTTACCGGGGAGTGCTCAGTATCTATAGGATATAGCATATTCATTTACTGCATAGAATTCTTACATTAAATTAGATTTAGTGATATTTAAAAGGTTAAACGAGACTCAATAACAAAAACATCCCTTTACCCTTTACTTTACAACTCATTGTTTCATTTTATCTTGAGGTTTCTGCTATGTTTAGGTCGTGGCATGCAGTAACATTTGCTAGTCAAGAGAGCCACTAAATTCCACTGAAGCCTCCAGCAGGTGTACAGCATACGTAGTCTCATATTGAATAAACATCAACACAGATAATATTTAGTTTCAGTGTTTGTTTTCAAATGTCCCGAAATAATTAAGAAGCAAACCTTACAACAATTTCCACTGTGAGTGATATGTTTAACACCCATAGATTTAAAATATCTGGACCTCATTTGAATACGCATTTCACACCTTTGAAAGACTATATGCAAAATAACTGCTGGATCAAGTTTAAAGAAAGCACACACAAAAGATCCTCCTATTTATTTTACATTCAAAAGCATATATGCTCATGAGGTGTCAACGCACTTAGCTGATCTAAGAGTCCATTGTCACTATTGTTGTTTTAATAGCTATGTGTAACATGCAATAAATCATATATCATGATCAATCAAATATAGCTGACATTTAGGTGCCGCTAAATGTTTTTTCACACTCCAATGTAGCTCTAGAGCAAATATGTGAAGTCAAGTCACCGCACATTTTCTTACGCTGAAAGAAATGTTTTTTACTGAGATAATTGTTTAGTTTTCTTATGTGTATTGAGCTAAAAAAAAAAAAGCACAACATTCATCAAAAAGTTAAGCCAATTGTTACATTGAGGAATAAACTTCTGGCTTTGCCTCTTGTATGTTCTGCTCTAATGAAAAATAGTGTCAGCTTAGAAATGGTATTATGTAAGAGTCTAATATATGTCAATCACTACTTCTAATGTTTATGAAGCAAAGATACAGTTTTTCACAAGAAAGCTGGATTTAAACTGCAGTATTTGCCGACAAAGATTGTATATGCAGCCCGGCGCTGACAATTTGCACTTATCAATCTTGAGGATCAATTATTTTGGACAAAATACCTTAATGTGTATATAGGCTGTTTCTCATCTTTAACTCTGTATATTGTTTAAATAAATGAGAAGTGTGGAAGCTGACCATACCCGTACATGTTACACTTGACACCTCTCTTTTACGGGGTTAAGATAATGACCAAGTTTGCAGTTTTATTTCATCTCAGCCGTAGCATCAAGGCAGGAGCACTGGGTACAGGCGAAGGCAAACCTCTTCTTTAACAGTTGTTGTATGGTCTCAATTTAAATGGTAGAATAAACGGTGGCTTTAAAATTACGGCATTATCGATTCTCCTTTTCTAAAATCTACAATTTACAATAAGATGTAACAGTTTTAGTATCAATACTTCTGTTATAACACTACCTTCTATCTGTGTTTTGTCCACAATAAAAGCCTTTTAGAGGAGATTTTCCCTATCCAAGGGTCTAAAGATAGGGGGTGTCCATGCTGAACAGACAGGAAAGCTCCGGTGTAATATGTAATATTGGAATTTATAAATAGAGCAGACTTGCATAGACTTGAATAGGCATCTTGGGGTATCAGTAAACATTTACGGAGTAGACAGTTGCTGAGAAATGTTGTGTATGGATGAAAATTAAACAGCAACCTGCTAAATGCACCACAACTGAGTATATTTAGCACTTAAACTGGAAGAAGCACGCCATTGACGGATACATATATATACTATTGACACTCTTAATGTTATATTAAAGGATATGTTACCTGACCGTGTCTGCATTGTTATGACAAGGTCAAAAACTGTGTTTAAGGCACACCTAAAAGCTTATTGGCAATATAAGAGAGTAAACAGCTTCTGGAAATGTTTGATAAGCTCTTAAAATCCAGACCCCCAGCCTCCAAAGACAAAATTAATCTACTCATTGTCCTGTTTCTGGACTACAAATTGAAAATCCCTGCGGAAGTCCCTCCCTCCTCACTCCACTGTTGCACCTCGATGATGTAACCACTTTCCAAATATAGCGTGTTGCTGATGGCTCAGCGGCTCACCCATTAGTCGAGAGCGCTGTCAATCTCGTGACGTCACCCGCAGTGGTGTTATTATTGTAAACAGCCCGCCTGCTCTCCACCGACGCTCTGTGCCGAGCCGACTACTCCATCCAGTCCTTTGTTCATGCAGCGAAAACACCGACGCGACAAAAGCACAGTACCGGTCCGCCCAAAACTGCGGATAAAACCTCAGAGCAAAGTTTAAACACATCACCTGAAATAATGCCACCACATATTTTTCATAAAATATTCGCTTCTCATGTTGGGGACATGTTTATCGAACACCGGGGTCTTCATGCACCCGGCGACGGCTCAAAGCTGCTGCATGAATAACAATAATAAACTGGTAGCCGGTCAATGCACAACTCTTCTTTGTCTACTCGGTTAAACGTTGGTTAGAATCACACACACAATTATTTAACACTAGATGAACCAACAAAGAGTATTTTTTAGATTGACAGTCGTGTTGTCAATGGCTCCTTAAATGTCAAATTGTTGAAAAATAGTGCTTGTCATTTTGCCTGGACCTCGACATCCCACAATTACCATAAAGTCCTTTAACTTATATTTTACCTCGTCAACTCGACAACGTTACATTTAAGGACTTTACTTTGTGCCCCGTGTCACAGAAAATCGACCAAAACGACTTTTATTGTTTTGCAGTGACTGACACTGTATGGAAAACTCAACTAGTCGAGAGGTCACAAAGCAAAAGTTGAAATTACTCCAGTGAATGTTTAATGGCACTTACTCGACAGCCTGGATGTGTTTCGGAGTGATCGACTGCATCTCCCTCGCTGCCAGCCGGCTCCTGGTGACAGCCTCACCTCGACATTTCCATCCAGACAAGTTGACAACACGCTTCCATTCTCCGACTAAGTGCAGTTTCAGCAAAGCTTCAAGGAAGTTGTTTCTTTTGTTCCAGTGTTTTTGGTTGCGTCAATGTTGCGAAAAGGGGGAGGCGGAGCGGTGGATACGGAGAGCGACCGAGAAGAGAAAGAAAAAAAACACTCACATCTGAGCGCACCGTAGCCTAGTTCGCATGCCTGGCCATTAACGCGCAGAAAACCCTTCATCCAAATCCGCGATAAACTCATCTCATCAGCTCAGCTCACGTGTCTGACGACCAGCATCCCTTCAAAGTGAAATAGACAGTCCTCGGTGCCCAGGTTTGATAGGCTGTCCAAGATCAGGCTACTACAGGTCGGTGCGCCCCGTGCGCGCGTATAGGAGCGGACACATTTACACAGCCCGCCTCGATAACTTGGATTTCTTTACACAACTAGATTCCAAAGCTTTTTCAGCATTACTTCCTTGCTTTCTATGGCGCGTAAAGGCTTTCTGTCTGTTATTCATCGAGCCAGAGTCAAAAAGAGAGCGCCTGCAGCCTACACGCCTCTCGAATTCAAACTCTAGTTCCCGGACAGTGCAGGGCGGTAACGAGATGCGCAGTAACGCGTTACCACCACCAACAGAGAGTAAATTAGACTAGCGATTTCCTTCCATTCCAAAACTATTCGCTATCACACAAAATCACCTTTTATTTCAGTATAAAAGCCGGGCTGACGCTGCGTAAATATCCCATCCATTCATTCCGTTTCCTGACAGGTTACTCGCTTTTTCTCACACATTATAGCCTAGCCAAGGTGGCAAAAAAGTTTACTTCCTCGCGGTGGATGCGAAATTCAAAATACGTCCAAACACTTTGGACATCACAAACAGGCCAGGTGATTTGATTTCCTGCCTTTAGACGACAGATACACAGCACCGTAAAGCGACGCAACAAGTAGAGTAAAGGACTGAGGATGTTGCCCTCATTTTGCAGAAAACTAGACATAAACAGAGTAATATTTGATGTAACGAGCCGATGCTGTTCTTGGAAGCGAAGGCAGGGAGAGCTGAGACGGCTTATGCAGAAATAGGATCATGTTGGTTCATCGGATAAAAAGGTGAGCTCCCTGTTTCCGCGCCGTTGTTACAGGAGCGTTGCGTCAGGAAGTTGTTGGTGTCAGTGAAGTCACCATCAAGACGCCCTTCCTTCCATCCAGCCTAACACGGGCCGCTATATAACATGAAAGCAAATGGAAACCAGCTCCTCCAGATCCTAAATGTCCTTGAACATTTTTTTTACCTCATTGCAAAAGAGAATCTGACAAAAAAAGCTATAGGTAAAATGCTACAGTCTGTCAGGAGGAAGTTAATCTCAAATGCTGCCGTTAGAATTAAGAAGTCAAACGTGAGGAAAAAAATGCACTTCTTATTAGTGTGACAGCTTTATGAAAACGTCAGAGGATTTGTAAAAGGAGCTCACCAGAGATATTCTTGGTGCAGTGTAGGCCTGCAGATTCAGGCATTATGTTATCCGGGCTTTGCAAAACTATTTCGAAGCGTTGAGAAATATTATAGTAGGCCTTCTATAAATATTGTTCAACAGGCACTGACTAGAACATCTTAAATTCAAAGGTAAGTAAAATAAGCCCACCATTTTACAAGCTGAGTTTAAAAATAATTGGGCTATGATTTAGCGTGGCTTGGAGCAACTAGTCTGCATGCGTAAGAAACTGCAGTGGAAAGTCTGATGGGAACATTTTTTGGAGTTTTGAATTTGATTTGAATAGAGAAGCTAATTCTGTCACGAAAGAGACATCTTTTGTGGAGTTTTCACAATTATCTAAAAACTAGCCTTTTCAAATAAAAAATTTTTTAAGAGAAAAGTATACGAGCCTGTTTGGTGGATAGTAAGAAAGTGAAAACTGTTGCTTTAAAAAGCATCAATTCAAAAGGCTATTCTTTTATCAGTCACCTAATGAGGAACATTTTCACTGACAACGTACATATTGTTCAACAGGCACTGACTAGAACATCTTAAATTCAAAGGTAAGTGAAATAATACTTTATCTCTCTGTAACAGCAGGTGCACACCGTCTTAGATGACTGTCTGTAATGCTCACGATGCACAGTGATAATACAGGCAAATAATAAAAGAAAACATTCAAGGAAAAAGAAAAATGTTAAAGCCCTATTTCAGCACCAACGTTGACTAATTTCACTTACTGGGCATGTACATAGTTAGTTTGCAATGTTTTATGACAAATCTGTTCGGAAATTGCAAGGAACTAAACCCATTCTTTATTGTGCATGTGAGACAATTAGACATTTAAATTGATAATTGTATGAAAAACTGACAGAATTACTTTTTTCTTTTGCAAAATACAGACGCTTTTCAAAAATGAAAATGGCACTTTTAATGATTGCCAATTAAACGATCGCCGTTTGATATGTCAGAACATAGATGCACATATCAATCATACGCACATTTGTATTAACATATTCTGAAAGTTGAGTTTTACAGGATTCGTGCAACCTTTAAAAAACGAAAATAGAGTCAGAACCCAAAGCTGGAAAACCAGACTGACGAGTTTTAATGCATACATAATACACCTGTGTTTGCTTTTAATTATCCGAAGTGAACTTTTAAAACTGATAACCTACCTTTAGGTTCCTGTGTGTGTGTGTGTGTGTGTGTGTGTGTGTGTGTGTGTGTGTGTGTGTGTGTGTGTGTGTGTGTGTGTGTGTGTGTGTGTGTGTGTGTGTGTGTGTTTGGGAGTGTCAAGCTCACAGTTATGCAGCAGTATTTGAATATGTGCCCGATGTGTGGGCTGATGCACAGTCAGAATGCAAAAAAGAAACAGTAAACAGGCGCAATAATCTGATGGGCTGCGGTTCTCCATAAAGGTCATCGATGAAGAACAAGACTGCAATAAGAGCGCCAAAATAGTTGTGGGGAAATTTTATATTTTCTACTTTTAAATCCGTCCACGAACCAATTTATTTTAAACAAACTCACATGTTGCTGAAGTTGATGCAAGCTTGTGCTTTCCCCTCGGTCTCTCTGCTCAAACTTGACTGCTGACTTTTTGAAAATATAACACAGATGGCGTAAAAGACACCTTTAAAACTTTTTGTTGAACTCCGAGTTCCACATGGACCAGGACCGTTCTCTCCCCTCTTAAAGTATGTTGAGCAACATTGTTTTTGAAACATAGTTTTTAACTTTTAATGCAAATGTAGTGCATACAAAGTGTGCATTTGAGAGATGGCTAAATAAAAGATAAGATCTAATTTGGGATGCCACATTTTGTACTCGTGTCAGAAGAGCCAAATACGTAAAAGAGCAACTGAGACTGTTAAAAAAAACATCACACCTGTTCTGTTTTACTTAGATATTTAGAATATGAGCAGCAACTGAAAGGTCATATTGTGTGGGAGGAATCTATATGACTCAAAACGAAAAAGTCAGTAGCCTCTATGTGTGTGCACAGTAATATAAATTATCTCTGCCTTTCTCAACACTTCTTCAACTTTGTAGACAATAAAGAGGCCTTTAAGTTTATTAGTTATGTGCATATACAAGAAGTGAATACAAAAAAACATGATTCTTAAATAGTCTGTTAAGTTATTCATGCAAAGGACAACTATTGTTATACTGAGTGTAGTTCAAACTTATAGGCTTTAAGGTTATTAGTTATGTGGATATTTACAAAAAGTTAATACAATATAACATGTTTCTTAAATAGTCTGTTAAGTTATTCATGCAAAAGACAACTATTGTTATACTAAGTGTAGATCTCAAACCTAGAGATCGATGAAGTCAAAGTGAACCCATTGCCCTGCACGTGATGCCTTTAGACACAGTATACAAATTAAATTAGAAACTAGATCCCAAAGATTTTGAAAATTGCAGAACACACTTCATGTGACAGCCATGCTTTTGAGTCGTGCTAGAGTGAAAATGCAGTGGCAGCATGCAAACATTATCAGTGTCACTCTGTCAATGGTATCCTTGTCAGCTGCACGGGGACGCATCCAAGATCAATGATGTTCACTCAATTAACCTGATGGACGAAATGTCAGGGAGGTTATGGATGTGAGTGCGTTAAGCTCTCTTCTCTGAGGGAATATGTTCACGTCCCGGGCTGTGGTGTCTACAGGCCCGAGAGGAGACCGTGGGTGAGGCCTGTCCCAGCTGAAGTGCCCTAGTGTCCAGAGCAGAAGTAGGTCAACAGAGACCGCTGGTTGGTGAGTTGGAACGATGCTGCTCTCTCACACACACACAGGAAAGAAAAGGAAAGGAGAAAAAAAAAAAGGGCAAAAGAAAAATCCTTGCCTTTCGATTGAGGGATAATTAGAGACTGTTTGACCTGTTTGTCCCCTTAAATAAACCGTTGGCCATTTAGTGGGGAGTGGGCTGAAACCCTTCACTGGACCCCTCCAATTATGCTTTTTAATGGCAAATTGCCTGACGAAGTTCAAAGGTCTTCCCATTCTCTTGCCTGCTTTTCCTCTGTCTATACGTTAGTGTGTGGAAAAACAGTCAATTAACCAGTCTTTGCCATAATAGGAAGCAGTAGTGTGTGTTTAACGCTCCAGCTCCAGTATGACAAACAACATTACATTTGCGCGTTTTAGAGAACAATTGTATCAGTGCAAATAGAAAGTTTATAAAATGGAACAAGCGGACAAAAAGGCAAGAATAAAATAAAGAAGATAAGAAGCCGTAAAACTCGACAATTAAGAGGTTTTTCTGTAAAAGTGTGCCTCAAGAAACAAACAGAGGCTTACAGTATGGGCATGGTTCCTAGGTTTTTTTAAGAGGTTATGTTGACATTTTTTAACAAGTCTGTCTTTAAAACAACACTCACGTTCCCCCCATACATCAAAACAGTTATAAGACACTGTAATTATTCTTCTGCCTCTTCTTGGAACAACCTGTAAAGCTCTGACAGTCATTGAGGGCCATATATCAATGTGCCTTAAAAGCCGTCAGTAAAACTTAATAGCAACATGCAACCCTGTGTGGAGCGAGTAAAACACAAGGTTGTGCAGCTGAGTTTTCTCGATGAGGCTGTAAGAAATGTATGACTGTAACACAGAAGGGAGTAAAACATCCAAGCACAGAGGCAGTGTTATTGAGATAGAAGTGAATATTACAACATATACCTAGCAACACTTGTGATGTATTGTATGGTTATGTAATGTAGAAAGAAGAACAAGCTGACAGGAAGTAAAACACACATTGCTCCTTAATGCAAAACCACTGTATGCACAAAAGGTGTCCCATATTCACAGAGTGCTTATGGGCTGGTGTCCACAGGGACAGCAAGTGTCCCTGTGATAAGTTCCCTGTCCTACCCTGCTCAGTCTCCAGCACAATGGGAACTAACAGGTAACTTAGCGACCTGAGCCAAACACATTTTCCACAGTAAACCTGAACACAAAGGCTAATCACAACAGTATATGTTCCTTTTTTGTTGACCTACAAAGGGATTGCCATTAGTCAGATACATGCAAACCTAACCTACCTGAAGAACCGGATAAAAGACATTAAGCTGAATTCTGTTTCCTC